GAACAGCTGGAGAAAAGAAAGAGCTAGCACAAAGCAGAAAAGGTCAGTTATCAAACTCATCACTTAGGGCACATAAGGCTTCATGAAAGGACATATAATACAGGTGGAAATAGTTTTGCATGTGCAATGGCATGTGCAAGTTTTTGAAAACAGTACATGACAAAAAAAAGAGGTCACGTCCATACTGGTACCTAACCCAGGCCCACAACACAGGCTTGAACAGCAGAACGTAAGAGCTAGTAGTACCTAATGGCAAACATGTTCTCAGAGTACAGTTTTGACCTGGACAATCTAACGTTGTACTGGAAAATGTGCCCAGCCATTGCCTGGGACTGAATGTATCATTGACCATTCTCAACAGGTAGTTTAGATTACTTTAGCCATTATCTTGCTCCATATGTATGTAACGAAGACTCCTCCAAACAAGAGAACTCTAGGATGGGAGTCAGGGGTGTTATTATGTCAAAGTACTGAGTTGCAGACAATTTGCCAAGCTCCTGATATCACTTTTCTGTTCTTCAGTCTCTTCTGCATAAAAGAATGCTTCAACGTATCCTGTAGGCTGTTCCACAACAGGTAAAGCCTAAATCAGGGAGAAAAAGGTTGTACTAGAAAAAAAAATCCTGCCCTGCAGGAAAGGGAAAGAAAAATGTAAATGGACTCAGCTGGGCCATGGAAATGCCTGCTTAGCTAGTAAAACTGTTGATGATTGAAGTGTTAAGAACCTTCTGAGGCAAAACTAGTCACAAAGACCCAAGTTTTGCACAACGGCATTGATGTGCAGCAGAGCTCCTATACTTAAAGGTGAAGAAGTAGGCAGAATTTCACCTAAGATACCATTTCAGGAAGTATGTAACGTAGGGAAAATGAATTAAAATAAAAATCAAAGAGGCATAGAGATTAAGCAATTTTCCCAAGCTCACATGGGATCCATGGGAAAGCCAAAGTCTTTGTCCATTTCCTTAGTCACCAAACCAGCTTCGCTTTTCTTCAGCTGGAAAATTCCATCCATTAAAATTAAACAGCAATGCAAACATCAGTAGTATCATCATCAAGAGCAGTAATTCTCTGTATAAACAATATCTCCTCCCATCTTCGGCTTCAAAACATGTTCATTTGAAGTCAGAAAGTCAAAAGTAGCTATTTCAATGCTTTGAACTGAATTTGGCCTTTGCGTTAGCAACAGACCAGAAGAGCAATGGTATTACCGCCTAAACACAGGCATTAATCAACCAAATGCATTACCCTATTCAAAAGACTGAGTTTTGAAGTAAGCTTAGTTCTGAATACGAAGGTTACGAAACTTTAAAACAACAAATTGCACAAGAGACTTTGTAGCAGACTGCTTATTGCTTTCAAAACACTAACAAGCTTTTCAGTATTACACATTCTTATCAGCAAGGGACAGAGTGTTTGATCCTTGTTCTCTCCTGTATCTTGACATTTGATCTGACCTCAGAGAGATAAACTAGCTGCATAACAAGAGAATTTCATTCTACATTATACATATTTAATCAGTCTCTGAGAGCAAGTAAGACCTTAACCCAGAAACCAAACAATGAGACCAAGGGAGCTAATTATACGTACTAAAAAAATACAATCTAAAAATCACTTTAAAAATGCAAAAAGTTGTGGACTTTGTACAAAGGCAAGCAGGAAACTTGCACAGTCCTGCTTGCAAGTACTGCTACATTAACACAGTCCTCAACAGGCACTTCACTTTTGAAGCGCTAAAACACTTAAATTGCATGTCTGTCTTTACCTTGCCCATCGTTTGAGAGAATAATTCTGAAGCATCAATCTTTCAACAGCAGTAAAGCAATTCTGCAAGTTTTACCCCTCTGGGGCCCCTCCCAGACTGAGTAGACGCTGCTCCAAGAGCTAGGGACAGCTACTCCTAGGGTGGCCACAAGAGGCTGTGCAAGAGCCAGGCAGAGCCCTCCCAGCAAAAGCTGAGCCAGTCTGAAATGCTGAGCAAGAACAAAAAACCTGACACACTGTTTCCATAGTGCCACATCAACTTATTTGCAAGACCACAGCTGAGACGATGTGCATTCAATTCCTTTCACACACATTCACAGTAAGTATTGGCCCACACAGTTTACAAAAAGATCAGTGTAATCTACTCTGAGCACCAAAGCAGCCCAAGCAAGGTACTGTTAAAAACAAGTAACACACTCATTATTAGCTTCAAAACCTGATTTTGAATGTTCAAATCTGTATGATACAAAGCTCATCAATAAAATGGCAAAGTGGATGTCATGTTGGGCTTCTCAGAAAATCATGCACCTGTACTAGTGGCACTTTTTGAAGATGGACGGCAGTACAAATTGGTTTTGCATCATGGCTTCCATGTTTTTATTGTGACTAGTCAATAAAGCACAGGAAGAGACAGGAAGGTCAAGAAGTGTAAGCACCAACCAAAATATTACTGAAAGGTTCTCTCACCCAATTCACTGTTGTCATCCACCAAAATAATTTCATGAAGAAGGTGTGCAGGAGTGCGATCCAGGACACTATGCACTGTGCGAAGCAGGGCAGAAAGCGCTTCATTGTAGAAACAGATAACAACACTGGCAGACGGCAGATCAGAAGGGTAGGACTTCTCCCTACATCTGCAAACAGAAATACAGTACTTATCGCTATTTTCAGTGGGATTTCCTTAGACTTAGGTCCCTAGTGAAACTTCATAAATAACGATCAAACATTAAATGTGTAGGAAAACTAACTTGAACATAAAAAGCCCAGGTGTGTAACATCTATAGTAGAGCTCCATATAATACAGACTCACATTAACATTGCTATGAGGATATGATGGATTGAGGTGGGAGTGAGAATCACAGATCCTCGAGACATAAACAGGAGAAAACACTAAGGGCTTGTTTCAGCTGTCAAAACATTGCCTAGTACCCTTGGGGAGCTCAGCCATGTACAGGAACAGCAAATACAACATGAGGCCTAGAAAAAAACCCACAACTTTATTGGCCAGTTCCTGGAGACTAGGTTGGACATCCCAGACTACCTCCAATGGTGCTAAATATCTATTTAGACAACCAAGGCTGGGATTCAGCCTGCGGATTAAGACATTTAAGTTTAGTCACTGCTGTCAGTGGAGTATAGATAGCACTCAGCTTACCCTAATGCTGACAAGCGTGTTTTGTCAGCTGAAGAGCTCTGCATGCTCCATTAACTGCATTGACTAGATCTCTGCTAATTACAAATAAAAGCAGAGACAACTAACATACCTAAAATTAAGCATCTTAATCTGCAAGGTGAATCTCACACAAAGCAGAGGATCATTCTTTCTTTTGCCTTATTTTCAAATTTTCTCCATACTTCTAATAGGGCACAGTATCACAGATTAATGCCACTTGACGATGCCAGGCACAAGGGAATCCAATAAAAATAAGAAACTATAAACAAAACCCCAGAAGTATACAAGAGAAGCCTTCATAGACTTGGAATGAACTTAGCTCCTGGGAGAGACATTTCAACAAGTACAATTCATTACCTTTACCCATACCAGAGAAACCACTAGAAAAACAGATGTATGTTTGTTTATTTTTCAGTTCAGTGTTGGGGTTTTTTTAATTCTTGTTACAGTGGTGGGCTTTTTTCCCCCCATATGCATCAGAGATTATAGAGAAAAAAAATCTGCTTTTTAATAGAAAGTATTCAGAGCAGAGCAGTGCAATCCAGATACCAACCAAGGACTTTAACTGAGAAACAGACAGTCTTTGTCAGCAGTCATGCTTCTATCTTATCCTCTGTAAGCTTACAACAAATGTGAAATAGTACATAAGGTCAAAGTCTCTCACTGACTTGGGCACTGGAACATTTAATGTCCATCCTTAAAAAGTACCAAGCAGAATTATAGCATCTCTTCTGGTAGTTACAGTACTGAGTATCTCAAAATGAAGCTTCAAAAAATAAAAATATTGTAGCTCGCTTTAAGTAACCAAGTACACAGCTAGCAAGATGAAAGAGACATCAGACACGTAATCTTAGTATTGCTGGAAAGAAAGTTCGATTCCTAGGTCTTTTCCACATTGACTTTTCTTCGAAGTATTATTTTCGGAATCTTGTTTCTATCAAAATAGCTGTCTGCCAATCCTACTACTCTCAAAAAAATAAACTAATATGATAAAATTTTGAATAAACATGTATCCAATCTGGTTCTTCATTAAACAATCTTAAAGGGAATTAATAATCAGGAAAAAACTTTGTGTTTAGGGAGTAGCTGTCTTTCTTTTTTCATGAAGCCTGATTTCTGTGGGACTTTACCTATCACATACCTTCTCCTGATGGCAAAAAATTAGATTTCCAGAAACACTATTCAATCAAAAAAGACAGAAGAGAAGAAAGAATAAAAATCCTAACCTCAGGCATTGCTGTTTAAATAGCTGAAAAACTGCCGTTAGTAATACAGGAAGCTGAAAGAATATCTAACAGAAATGTAATACAAAAATGTTAAATACTACATCAAGCATAACGTAACAAGTCCTTGAGCACATGAAATTACACCATATTGTCTCCAAAAATCAGTACGTACTTCGCATCTCTTGTATCAGGCACCTCCCTGTGGTATCCCAGCCGATTACTGATAAGCATATTGAAAGCATGCTTCTGATAGCCCAGGTCTCTCACTTCCTGATCTTCTTCATTAAAAATCATTCCTGAAAAAAAAATCAGTTTACAGGCTCAAAAACATCCTTTGGAAACAATCAAGGATTCAAATGTATGCTTTAACCCCCCCTAAACCCAATTATGCTCTGCAAAACTAGAGGGATTTTTGAAAAGTATATTTTTGTGCAATTATTTTTGTTACCTCTCACAAACAGATAGTACTTATGAGTAGCCCTTGCAGCTATAATAAACACAATGGAGCCTTCAGTATTTGGAGAATGATTTCATTTTATTACCTTACGAGACATATTCCCTTCACTTAAATGGCCTCTAAATCTTAGCACTACCTAAAAACCAACATCAAACACGCAACAGAAGATAGACTGCGGCACACGATGCATCAGCACCCATCCAGATGAAGGGTCTGTAATGGGATTTTTTGAGAGAGAAAATACATTTAGAAAAATAGAAAAACCCTCACAATAGAAGCTCCAGTTTCACGCAGGTTTTTCAAGTCTGCAGTAACATAAAAATAGCTATGAAAAACCTGTAAACTTTGTGTTTGTATCACCTGGGACTTTGACAGCAAGTAAAATAGCAAGAGCTAGCTGGTTTATTGTTTATTTTAGCAGAAGCATCAACTGTTGCCGAGCATGGCAGAGGCAGCAATTGCTACTATAAATACATACACTGCTAGAGGCCAAGGTTGAAATCCTCAATGCCATCAAGCCTGCCTTGACTCAGCACCACGGACCACACTCTCATGGAGCCATACACTCATCAGTGTGAATTCAAACAAAATGTTATGGTGCTTCACTCAACTCTTCTACAGAAAAAAAGGAGGGAGAGGAGGGAAGTGGTAGCCACTTCTGCAGCATTCCAAGAAGCAGAGCAATGACTTACTGTCTCTGTTCAGCTGGCTGCATACAGTTGCATATGTCCTCTCCAGCTATTATCAAGCTACAAAAGCAATTTCACTAAAATTTCTGTATAAGAAGTGAGCAGGGATCATGTAATTTATTTCCTTCCACCCTGTCCATCATCTTCATATGGTTCAAAATTTGCAGCAAATAATTAACAAGGGTGTTCCCCATTCACAGGCTACCATGCATCCAGGATAACATGTTTCATAGAATCATAGACTAATTTAGGCTGGAAGGGACACCTATTTTAATCCTCTGCTCAAAGCAGGTCCAACTAGATCAGGTTGCTCAGAACTTGTCCCATTAAGTTTTCAAAGCCTCCAGTATCTCCAAGGATGGAGATTCTACAACCTCTTCATGTCTCTGTTCAGACATTTGACCACCATCGCACTGAAAATGTTTTTCCTCTATGGTGGGTTGACCCTGGCTGGAGGCCAGGTGCCCACCAAAGCCACTCCATCACTGCCTTCCTCAGCTAGACAGAGGAGAGAAAACATAACAAAAGGCTCCTGGGTTGAGAGAATGACAGGGATAGATAACTCACCAATTACCATCACAGGCAAAACAGATTCAACTTGGCGAAATAAACTTAATTTATTGCCAATCAAATTGAAGTTGGATAATAAGGAATAAACCCAAATCTGACTTGGCAAAATAAACTTAATTTATTGCCAATCAAATCGAAGTTGGATAATAAGGAATAAACCCAAATCTTAAAACACCTTCCCCTCACCCCTCCCTTCTTTTTGGGCTCAACTTCACTTTCTATTTTTCTCCCCCCTTCCCTCCCAGCAGCACAGGGGGACGGGTAATGGGGTTGATATAGAAATCTCCTCACTTTAATTTCTTATCATAATTCCATGCACCTCCTGAAAGTGTCTGGCTCCATCCTCCCTACAGTCTCCCATTCAGTTGCTGTTGACAGCAACAAAATGTCACCCCTCAGCCTTCTCTCCAAGGCAGAATAAACCCAGTCCTCTCAGCCTCTTTTCATATCTCATGGTCTCCACTTTTCAACAGCTACGCAAAAGCCAGCTGAGCTCAAGCCCAGAGAAAATAAGATGGGTTAAAAAACAGAAGAAAAAGGTCATTAAAAAAGTTTTTAAGCCTTCTTCCTTTTCAAACAAGCAGTCTTGGTTGGCCTTCAGAATACAGCTGTGTCACTACCAGTTGTCTTTCAGCAAAGTCTACTTATAGGTATGAGATGACCCTCTAGAAGGAATTCTGCACATCCACATTCCGATCATTTACATTTCCCACCCTGTTGCTTTTAGTCTTGAGTACAGCAATGGCAATGCAGCTGCACTATAAACACCTCAAGAGTAGATACTTTGACATTGGTGCAGGACCGAGCGGGAAGTGGTGGGTATGGCTATCTACAAAAGACGTGGTGTACACCCACATAGTATGTCTTGCGGTGACTGATGCTATCATGCTCATGGATGAGTGCTCCCACTGCAGATAAGTTGCATCGTGGGGGCAGGAATGAGGTCTGTTCAGTGGCAGTGTCACTCCTCCAGCACTAGTGATCTAAAGTGGTAAGTCAGTCCTTTGAACCACATACCCAAGTAAGGTTTCCAGTTTGTCAGTTCAGACACCCAGCTCAACCATTCTTGAATTCACAGTAATACTGTGACACTGGGTCAACTTAAAACATTTTCTTTATACGAAGAATGAGCTTAAGAACCACATACCGAACGTTTCATTCTACAACATGTCCATAACCAACCATTAACTACTTTTTTCTGATCTTCTGAAAATAGACAAGAAGGAATGCTAGTATTTTTAAAACATTCTCATGAAGGACAATATCCAAAATGCAAGCAAAAGGCTTGAAAGATTTCAGTCCAAACAGCAGATAAAAGCCCTTGGAAAATAAAGGCTTTACAATCGAAACATCAGTTTAGACTTTACTTCAGCAGTATTATGTGGCTCTCCCAGATTTAAAAAAAAAGAGAGAGATTGTTCTACCAGATGATAGTTTGGTTTTGGCTATCACATGCCAAACTGTTTTGTTTTTTAGTCTTTGTGTGTTTATCATTGCTCTACCCTAGACAGACAGGAAGCCCTTTCCTGGAGCACCTGATCTAACAGAGAGCCAGCTGTCTCCCAATGATTCATGTGGAATTTATCCTGGCACTATAAATTCCCCTTGGCTTTCACCAACCAAACCAGTCACTTGGTTTGAAGATCAAGGGACTTCTCAGTTAAAAAGGTCCAATTTCTTTCCTGGCCAGTACTGAACAGTTGGAAAGAAAGGGCCATACAGGTCACACAGGTCTAATGACCAACTCAGAAACTGAAATTTGGTAAAGTTCTACAGACTCTTGAAGCTGGTGATCCAGCGTTGCTCCAAAGTAACGACAGAGGATTTCAATCAGATATGAGTATTAAACTCCTGCCATACTTCCCAAAGCAGCAGACACTGATACCACAACACTCAACATCTGCTTCCAGACTAAGAGCAAGTTGCAGGCCAGTATGCAACATGCCTCAGTTTGCATATCTGAACACACCAGCGAACACTTAGCTGCAAGCAGTTAAATATAGAAGCAGTTTAATATACAAAGCATTTTAGTTTGGAAGACAAGTTTGGAAGACAAACCCAAATCACCTCATTGATGAAATATGCTTCAATGAAATGCACAGACATTTGTTGGTGCAAAGTAAGTAGGATTTGGCCCTAAACACTGTCATCTCAATAAATCTTTCATTGTAATTTGTCCCACACACATTTTTTGTAGATTATTTCATAGTCCAAGGATATTCTCCAAGTCAATGGGTCCTCTTCATTGTATATTTATTATCAAGCTATTTTTAATTACTGCATATAGGCAGAGTTTCTCTTCAGAGTTTCTCTGTGGCTAATAAAAGTTCATGTATTTGAGCCCAGTCAACATAGGTGTAAGATGTGAAACAAGCATATACTGAACCTTCCAAAAGCAAGAACTACATCAAGGGTAGACACCTTGCTGCAATACAGTCCTCCTCATTAGCACTTCCACAGCACAGCTGTAAATGTTATGAATAGCATATTTTGGATTAAACACAAGAGAATAAATTTCAAGTAATTCCTAAAGAAGAGAGCAACTAGTACCACCTGCATTTTAACGAACAAAACTACTTCATTACACAATTTTCCCTGTGATCCTTTAAAAAAAAACAACAAAAAACAACCCCACAAACCAACCTTACTATCTCATTTCTTCTACTGTTTTAACAATTTTGTCACCAACACTGAAAGCCACTTACCCATTTCAGGAGAGAATTCTACCTGCCCCTTAACTGGGTCCTGGACATGATTTCGAAGAGGATTTCCTATCTTACTTTCTTTCTGTTGCAATTCAGGTATATGAACAGGCCCCCGCGTAAAACGGGGGTAGAACTTTTTTGGAAATGGCCTCTGAGGTTCCAGCCCCTTGACGGGCACATTCTTGAAGGACTGGTTCTCTTCACTGAAGTTGAAATAAACAAAGAGCAGAAGTGTCCAGGTCACAGATGTGAAAAGGCACCCATAGCAGAAATAGCGAAGTGTGACACTTCCCATTGTAGACTTAGCATCATTGAGGACCCATTCTCAATTACCTGAAAGAGAGCAAAACCACACATTTTGAGACTGCTGTCTGTTACCTCATCAGGTCTGTACATTAAGATATGCATTCTATAGGTTGCTCTTCCACTAAATGATTTTTGGAACCTAAACTTTAAGCACAGACCTTAAGAATTAAATCCCTTTTCACTTTCCTATTCAAATAATAAACATGACTTGTTCGCACAATCTGTGTAGATACTACTGCTTTAAAACATGAAGCAATCACTAACAGCCCAGTGACACATCACAACTAAAGGTAAAAATGATTAATTGTTCCTCATAAGTTATGTAATTATCTCTCCTCCACAACAGTAGATTCCTTGTATGACTGCATTCATTTAAACATATCGCTATAACTAAATATACTACACTCAGGGAATTGATTCTTCACAGACTGGTTGAGTTTGGAAGGGACCTCTGGAGGTCACCTTGTCCAACTCTCTTAAGCAGAGCCACCTTGTGCCAGTTGCCCAAGACTATGTCCAGACATGTCCATTTTTGTAGTTCAGTTCCTATCCTAAAGCACAGAATGAGAGAACACAGCCTCAGAAAGCTACATAGTTCAGTCCTCCTTGCCCCAGATTTAAGAACAACTATCACGAGCATCCCAGAAATTCCAGAAATCATGGGGTGCAATTTAACAACACATAACATCAAGACAGTCACGCTTACAGATACTCTTGTCTGCAGAAAGAAAGGAAACAGATATGGGATAGGGAA